TCTTATGTCTTTATTTGGTAAATAAGATAACCATTACTTCGGTCAAAAACGTTATCTGATTTTAATTGTTTTAACAAAGTAGCCAGTCATGAATGTGATCTATCTTTTAAGACTGCATGATGCTCCTATTATCTTACTTCTCATTCCATTCAATAGCTCTATAATTTTTTATTTATCGTTGTATAGATATATATTCATTCTTATACTTTTGTCATACTTGGGCTAGTTCTTTTAATTGTGCTTATTCTTTTTTTAACATAATCTAAAAATACATAGTGAAAGTAGTTGAACATAGCTTTTAAAGTTTGTGCTTCTGTCCTAGTTGTTGTATGGTCTTTTTTCTACAACTACTACCATGGTCACTGATCGAGGAATATACATCTCTCACACAACTTTTGCTTAATCCTAAAAACTCAATTTGTTCCAAAAAATAATCTAAAAATTATATAAAAAGGTTGTTTGTAATTAAAGAAATTGTAACTTTGTAAAAAGCTACAATTTCTTTAATTACAAACAATCTTTTATGTAAGGCACTGTTTTTTATTTCAACTATTCTGATGATATTATCAACTTATTTTTTCATAATGGCATCTTTATAAAAAATTGATTATTTATTTAAGAAACCAATCAGTCCAATCTAGTTAAAAACATTTGCATTTCAATTGGAACTCTTTTTTAATTTTTTATTTTTTTACAATAATTGTGCCTTGAATCTTTTGCATATTCAATTTTTTCATATTTTTTAAATATCATTTATCTAATTTGCTGAGAAAAAACTAATCAAGAAAAAAAAATAAAACTAACTTAATAAAAAACTTACTGCCAGTATAATATCCTTGAGCATATACTATTCTAGATATAATCCAAACAACTCCAGACACCGATGAAATGATCTAAACACACATAAACAGTTAAAAAATATTGCTTGTGAATTATTTGGTTTCAACATCTGTAACTTTGAAGACAGAAAAATTTATTGACTGAAAATTAAAAACTATTATTTTAAACCATTGACAATAGCTTTGATACCATCAAGAAAACATAGACATGTATAATAATAAAAAAAATACCGGGTGTTGGATTCCTCCGATAAGAAGGCAAAGCATAGTTTGAGTATAAACTTCAAGTCTAAAAATGAAAAACTCTGGATTTATACAAATTTATAAGCACACAGGAGCATAGCATAAAATATTTTTTAAACAAAATGAATCCTACTAACATACTTTAGTAGTCTTTTTTTATTTTTTTATTTTAACTATTATACTATAACTTTTTTATAATTACTACAACATTTTTACTTTTATACTATAAATTTAGATATCCAAAAAATCTCACTGATGTTTTAAAAATGAAATAGAGATAGACTAGGGTTACGTGAGTACAAGTCTATCAAAATAATCTGAATAAAGTTGTTATATCAAGGATATTTACAAATAGTAATAAGTACTAGTGTTTATTTTTGAGAAATTTTATTTTTAAATTTTTTTAATTTCTCAAGAAATTATTTGATATTTCTCAAGAAAATTAAACAATTTTTATATCTTTAATTTAAAATTATGTTATGTTGTTAGTGTGCACATAAATATATTTTAAATTCACCAAAACAAATTTTAATATTAAGGAAAATAATAACTAAGAGAATAAAATAGGAACTGTTTATTATATTTTACGTACATATTGTACAAATGTATGGTGAATTAACGTTGTGAGTGCTCGTTGACAAATGGAGAAGAGTGTTTGTATTTTCTCACATTGGAAATTATAGTTACGTTTTTATGACTGTAACTGTAAAGTAACTATTAACAATTTTGTAATAATAAGCAAAATGTTAAGAGAGTTTAACTTTGCATAAATAATATTTAGTGTAAAAAAGAGAACGAATTCTAAATTCTCATACATTTATAAAATAAAAAATGCAATAACGCAACATGACTCTTCCATATATTTTTTCTTATCATTTAGATATGTAATTCATGTAATTAGTTTATTATCAACAAAAATCAACAAAACATAAAGATGTGTGGGTTTTAAAAGAAAAAATGTGATCCAGAATATGCTATATACAACATTTGCAGCAAACTGTTATAGCTTCTACCAGCATCTACAAAGTGTCCACAAAATCCAAAAAAAAGAAGCTAAAATTGTTAATAACTGTTCCATATCATCCCTATCAACATCTGGTCAACAAGTGAAACAACAATTGAGTAGTACTAATAATCAAACAATTTTAAAATTCATAAAAAGGGCAACTCTGGAAGAAATAATATCTAAAATGGCAGCTGTAGATAGATTCTCTTTTAACCAGATAGCTAAAAGTTAATTTATACGACAGAATATGACTGTGCAAGAGGATTCAAGCTACCACATTATTCCTGTAAAATAGGACAGCTAATGATGGACTTTTATTATATTAAAAAAAGAAGAGCTAATAAAAATACAGATTTAAAAGAAGAACAGAAAAAGTTCAGTGTGTATATTGTTGAATGGACCAGTCTTAAAAATTAGAGATATATGGATGATCATTTATATGTAAATTAGAGATGATACAAATATTCTGTGACTCAATAAAAAAGGCAACCGTTTAATTGTCTTTCCAATTAAAATTAAACCATATGTTTAGTTCAGGTTGTGAAAATATCATTTTTAATAAGTTTAGAGTTCTTTGTGCTAAATCAATCTTATAGTATTTTTTGAAATTACCTCAAAAATGCAAAATGGCACCTGAGCTGATTATTTTTCAGTTTTTCTGAAATGGTTTTAAGAGTATTAAACTTTTATGCATAATTAGAGTTAAAATATTTGGTATAACAGTCAACGAATAATGCATGCTGTGACACGACCTATTCATAAATGCCCACAGTGTAGTTGACTTATGCACCACAACGAAGCAGGTTGGAACCCTCAAAATAATTTAGTATTGCCAAATATTCATGGCATCTCTAATGTAAATGCTAAAGATTTGTAGAATCTGGGTTTAATTTATTTTTAGGGTAGATGTACAGCAGAAAAAATGCTAGAAATATTAAAAGAAAAATTAAAGATTTTTGATCTGTTCTTAGACCAATGAGTGATGGAGCATTGGTATTTCTAAAAATTTAGAGACTGTCTCCTGCTTATCTGCAATTGTTACATCCATACTTTACATCTAGCAGTTATAAAAACATTTTATACTAAAAAAAAAAAAAAAACACTGTAATAAAAATGATGAATACTAATGATTCAGATAAAGTTGTTGATAATGAAGATGATTTTTTAGAAAAAAAATTTGATTTTGAAAATAATGCACAGAAACAGGAAGTGCTGCAATTGAATAATTCATTTAAAGAAAAAAATGATGCATTACAGAGATATGTAACTGAGAACAAGGACGTGCTGGCTTCAAAATGCACATGCAGAATTTTTTAAAAAAGGCTCATATATGCGGGATTTTGCCAAATATGCTTGATTTGAAGGCCCACATTTATATATGTATTTAAATATATATATACTTTTTTGGTTTTGTTTGAATTAGCATTTTAACTAATGAGTTTCCTAAGTAAACAAAATAATGTAAATAACTAAACCATTATTCAGTCATTTTATTAAAATTTATAGATATATATAATTATTTTAATAACTATTAATTTAAAGATTGAAAGATTATAAATATTTGCAAAACTTTGCTCACAAAAAAAATTGTATGCTATATGGAACACCCTGAGCCATAGAGAAGTGATGGAAAATTATTTATAAAGCACAAGTGTTAGTAAAAGATGAAGTGTTTATTAGCGTTACAAAAACAATGGTACAACAAATTTTTTTTTTAATTACATGCCCCAAGAAGTCCTTACAGTCTTATCAACTTGAAGTTCAAATTAAATGTATAAAATTCATAAGATTTTCCAATCTATGTCAAATCTTTAAAAAAAGCTATATTTACAACAAACAAGAAATTTACAACTATGTTCTTTGAAAAAAAAACAATTAGCAAGTTTATAATGTTAAATATTAGTTTCAATCTATTTGCGGTCCCTGAAATGAATGATTCCGGAATACTTTCAAATAGAAATAAAATGCTTTATATATTTATTTGTATATATGAAAAAATATTACTACTTTTTATTAACTACTTTTTAAATCTGTAAAACATACAATAAAAGTTATCTTATAAAAACTCACACAATATATTTTAAAACGTTCTGATTTTTGTTTATGAAAAAACAATTAATCGTTCTAATTTAACAAAAATTTTATCAATATGAATATTTTTCCATAATTTAAAATTAAACTCAATTATTTCTCATAATAATCATTGGCTAACTTAATAAATTTTATCTATATAATAACATATATAATAAGCAATTTAAGTGACATAACAATCAATTCTTTTTCCAATATTGACATTGTTTTGAGACCAAAGTTACAAACGGTTGCATTTTATGATGCAAAATACTAATATATATATGCGCTTGAAGTTCAAATCAGAGATTTGTTAAAGAATTTAACTTGTGGAATAAAAAATAAAGCAAATAAATATCATTAGTGAAACATTTTTAAAATGCAGTAAAGGGTTTAAAAATTCAAAAATAAGGCCATTCTAGAATAAATAGCAATAGGCCCAAGCGAGATTTCCGCATAGTCTTTGGGGCCAGCATGCCACTGACTGAGAAAGAACCTAATGAATAAGCTTTACTTTTGGATTGCAAAACAAGATGGAATACAGTGGAAATTATGATAAAACAATTTTTAAGAATATGGATGGTTAAAAAGACTTTATCAGAACTAAATTTAAATCATCTATGGGAAAACCATTTGGTCAAAATTGCAGAAACATGAGAAGATTCCACACTATTAACTGAGAAAGGGTCTAAAATATTTATTTGGGAAGTTAAAGGAAGCCAATTCTAAAATAAGTTAAGAATTTCTACAAAAAATATAAGAAGATATCAATATCAGAAGAAATAATAATATTATATCTCTGTATAAATTCTTACAAAATCTAAAGTTCTAATGAAAAAGATGCTTTTCTTCTTTTTTAAAAAAGGCACCAAATAATAATATTCATAAAACTGTGAAAAACATACTAAATAGATTGTACTCTAACTGCTTGGAAACAGTGAGTGATGAGAAAAAACTTTGTTAATGCTAAAGCGGAAAGCAGTGTTGAAGTACATTTGTCTCTTCAAGAACAATTAAACTTACCTATTGTAAACACTATTAAAGAAATTAATAATGTGGATACTATTAACAAAAGTAAAAGTAAAACAAGGGATGCACAGTCCACAATAAAACCTGCATAAGAACAATTAAACTTCTAATTGAAAACACTATTAAAGAAATTAACAATGTGGATACTATTTAAAAAAAGTGCAAGTATGACAATGCACTGTCAGCAATAAAACAGGATGCACTGTCAACAATAAAACACTGCATAAACACTAAATAAACAAAACAATAGTTTATCAAGCAAACATTGAATGCGCTATGGTTTTTAAAAATTCCTTTTTTAAACAAAAAAATAATTTCACATTTACATTTATTAATTTAAAAAAATAAAATTTTGATATTTATTTTTAATTTTTAAACTATGTATTTACTTTTTTGTCCATCTAAATAAACTATAGTTTTTAAGGTCTTATTTCCATGATTGTTTGTTATTAGTTATTTTCGAATTTTTTTTTCGATTATTTAACAAAAAAAATTTTATGAAGCATGTAATTTCAAGACTTTTTCGCTTATTGATTTCTTTCCTTAAATGTTTGCCAAACTCATTTATATCATTCATTTTATATTATTAAAGATTTGTACACTAATATGTAACACTTGTTCTTATTATTAAAGATTTGTACACTAATATGTAACACTTGTTCTTATTATTAAAGATTTGTACACTAATATGTAACACTTGTTCTTATTATTAAAAATTTGTACACTAATATGTAACATGTTCTTAAGATTTTCACAAAAGGAAAAGAAAAATCTTTAGTTCTCGAGAAATAAAAATCATCAACTTTCGGAATTAGGGTCGGCTTCTACAATGCTGACCTAATTGCCGACCTGACAGTGTTTGAGGTCAGCAAAAAATTGCCAACCTCGCTTCTATGTTTTATGGTCAGACCTTTGTATCAAACAATTTTTGCCGACCTGATGCCGACCTCAAAAAGATTGAGTTCGGCAATAATTTGCTGACCTTATTTTTCCTAAATCCTAGGGTTGATTCATCTGAAAATATCAAACATAAATAATACTAATATTAAGTAAACACCTGTCAAATTTAATAATAATAAAATGGGGATAATAATAATAATTATATAACAAGGAGAAATAAAAATAATAGTAGTGATAATAGCCAATAAAAGTAATAATAAAGATTATAAAAAGTATATACTATACTATAATAGGAATAATAGTTATAAAACAATAAAAATTATAACAACAATAATAATATCACAAAAACAGTAATATAAAAATAATTATAACAATATTAACAACAGTAAGAATTATAATATTTATTAGGATAAAAATATAGTAATAATAACACTAATACTAATGAAAATATTTCAGTTTAAGAAAGATTAAAATAATAAATTTAACAAAAGATATTAAAATTAGTATTATAGCACAAGAGAAAAAATATTAGATGAATAGAAGCTCAGAGTTAGGATTATAAATAATAAATATAATATATATAGTTTTAAATTTTGAGAATGATTTAAGAGATTCTAGTAGGGTAGGGACATTGTTCCATGTTTGTATGCTTTTATGTTGTTTGAATTTATAACCTTAATGATCAGTTTTATTTAGGTACAGATAACTTAAATTTGCAAGCAGAATGTAGAATGATGGACTTTAACTAACATGCCGCATGATCTGCTTTAAATGTCAAGTCTTGAAGATGCAAAATATAAGTTAGAGTCGATTTCTATTCTAATATATTATTATTATTTATTTTGATTCCAATATATTATTTTATCTATTTTGATTCCAATATATTACTTTCATCTATTTTGATTCCAATATGTTATTATTATCTATTTTGATTTCAATATACTATTATCATCTTTAACTCAATCTTAGATTACTATATAGAAATAATAGTTATTCTTATCATTTTGATTATCTAAATTGCTTTTTTAATTTTTATAATAATTATATTAAAATTATCAAAATGATATTACGTATTTTGATGGACTCTTTGATAGCAGTTGAATATTTTTCCTTCTTTATGATCATCATTGGCATACAAAGTAGGATACTAAAGAAATATTTTTGTTTAACTGCAAATAGATTTTTTTTTAAAAACTACAATTCTATACATACATACATACATATATACATACATACATACATACATACATACATACATACATACATACATACATACATACATACATACATACATAAATACATAAATACATACATACATATATACATACACACACACACACACACACACACACACACACACACACACACACACACACACACATATATACATATATATATATATATATATATATATATATATATATATATATATATATATATATATATATATATATATATATATATATATATATATATATATATATATATATATATATATATATATATATATATATATATATATATATATATATATATATATATATATATATATATATATATATATATATATATATATATATATATATATGTATATATATATAATAGCCAATATTAATTAGTAGCACAATTAGTAGTAAATTTATAGCCAATATAAATTAGTAGTATCACTGGATTAAGGTGGACTATAGCCCGGAATGCCATAGTTTTGTTGCATACAGGTAAAGGGATCTCAGAATGTTAGGAGTTTTTTAAAATGCTGCCAACCTCTAAATATTTGAGCATATACTTTGTTTTTACTTCTGTAAGTTAAAAAAACACACCTGCTAGATTGCCAAAAAGTTTTAGTGGTTTTTTAATACAGTTTTTATATGTTTTTAAATAAACATTTAAGACATGCTTTTTTGGTTCGGGACCTCAGAATGTCAGGTTAAATAAAAGGTAGTATTGTTGCCAATATTGCTTCATTAATCATGAATTTCTGCATATATTAGTTATTTTTAATGCTAAATATATATTTTTATATGGTTGGTTTGATTATCTTTTATACTTTTTTCATTCCACCGCACAATGTTAGGTTAAGGGACCTCAAAACGCTAGGTAAATGAAAGCAAATTTATATATATATAAAAAGTTATTTGCATTCAATTTCTTCTTGATGTTATAAAATGGATTATAGTTTCATCACGAAACCTTTTTCAAAACACACTTTAGTATGTTTTCTTTGTTTTTGAACAAATAAATAAATTAAACTAAAGTGCGTTTTCTAAAGTATACGAGGTAAGTGTGTTTTTATATTCCTTTGCAGTAGAGAATAAATAAGAAATGGGAAAGTTCTTTAGAATTAAACCAACAAACAAATCAAGATGCAATGTTCTAAGAGATGCCATAGTGATGAAAAGTAAGCAGTTAGAGGAAGCAGTTGAATGGTGCCAAATTAACAATAAACCTGGTTGGGCTGCAATTAATTCAGGAAGATTTCCACTAATTAAAGATCTTAGAACAATTAACAAACGGATTGATGGTGTCATTGTAACTGGAAACAAGAAGGAATATTACCCAATTTTCACAAAAGATGAAGAAGAATCGTAAGTCTGTTATATAAGAAACAAGAATAGGTAATATGTACACATAATTGAAAAATATATTTTTTTTTTAAATAAACTGTTATTATCTGTAATAAAATCCTGGTTTTCATATTGTTAATTAAGAGAATTAAGCCCATACTGTTTAGTTTTCTTGTATTGTTATTTAAATAATTTATTTAGGTGCCTTCAAGGTTTAAGCAAGCCGGAGTTGACAAGGATAATGTTGAATGTTTTGGGAGTAGGAAAGCAAGCCTGTAGAGACCTCCATGAACGTCAGATTACTAAGTTATCATCAAATGCTCAACGAACAATCCTAACAGAGAAGCTTAGCAAATTTTTTTGAAAGCGTTGGGATGCAAAGTATCAAAAGTACATTACCAAAAAGAGACAAGGAACTGTATCCACGAATCCTGCCCCTAACTGCATAAAAGAAATGGCATGTAACCACCTCAACGAATTAGCAGAAGAACTTATAGAATGTAATATTTTCATTGATGCAAATCAATTAGAAACAGGTGTATGGCAGGGAGATATAGATACCAATAGAATTTATAATCATGATGAAACCCCTCAGTTTATAAACTATGTAGTTGATGGTTTTCCAAATGGTTAAGTGTATGCTAGGAGAGGAGAAAGTTGTCAAAAGATGATAAGAGAAAATAGAAAATGCGTAACCATACATCTTTTTGTTTCCTTTGGAGGAGATATAGCACTAGATATGTGCCACGTCATATTCAAGGGAAAAGCGATTAGTGCCCACATGGCTCCAAAAGAAGCAGTTATATGAATTCCAAATCTTTTCATCTCCACAAAAGACAGTGGAATTCAGAATCACAGTACACTCCTAAGTGCATATCAAATGTTTAACCACTTTTTAGAAGAAAAAAAAAACATAAAACGGCCTGTTGTTGTTCTATCTGATAGTCACTCTTCAAGATTTGACAGTGATGTAATGACATTTTTAAGAAGCAAAAATATTAGACTTTTTATCACTCCACCCAACACAACTGGCGTTACCCAGCTCCTTGACCAAATCAATCAGAAATTGCACTCTGAGTACAGAAGTGCTAAATCTGTACTTTATTCTTTGTTTATGACAATCAACAGAGAAGGTTTCATGAATATACTTGCAGAATGATGGCCAGAGTGGGCCTTAAAACAAACAACCATAAATGCAGATAAAAAAGTTGGCATTTCAAGTGGAGAACTCAGTGTTAAGTGGATGCAGGAAGATAAGTTTTTACGAGCTGAGCTGTGTATTAATGAAAATACCGAAAATAATTTATTATCAACAGCCCTAACAACTTTATCTCCAAAAAATGTTCACTATGGTTCGGCAAGATATTGAAGACATAAATACGAAAGTGCTTTGGAAGCTTATCAAATGATATTTAATAAATCAATATCACTGGAAGAAATACCTAACTTGTTGCCTGTAACCAAAGTAACACCTAAAATAAACAAGGAAAATGTTAGAGTTACCCAGGTTCACTGGTCGATGGAGGGTAAAAAAATATTGGAAACAGTTTCTTCAATCAAGGAATACAAAGCCAAAAAAGAGAAAGCTAATAAAAAAAAGAAATCCAAGCAACAACAACAAATTAACGCATTCTATAAATGTAAGGAAGAATGTACCTGTGGAAAGAATGTTTGTGCAGCAACTAAGCTGCGAGAATGCTCATGTTGCCATAATGTTTTGAAAACTACATGTAGTAAAGCATCATGTCGAGGTGAAACAGGTTTAAAACCAAATATGATCAAACCATTTTGTGAAATAGGATCCAAAAAATGCCTTTAGTTTGAGTCTGATGAAGAAAACGTTTAAGATTTATTTTTATTTTAATAGCTGATTTTATCCATAAAACAACCTAGATTTCTCTATTTGCTGATATTTAATTGAAGTTTATCAGGATCTTATTTTTATATTTTTTGTTCATAAAATTTCTTTAAAGTTTGTTAATGTTATTAAAAAAAAAAATCATCAAAAGTAATCACTGAAGTTTTTGATTTGGTACCTTAAAATGTTAGTTGCAACACCTCAAAATGCGGTATTTTAAAAAGCGATTTAAAGAAAATTGGATTTGTTCTATGCCCGCATCTTTTTAGGACTGTTTTTGGAGTTTTAAGGCAACATTTCTTATAAGGTTCTGCAAACTTATTTTTAGAAGGGGTTGAAATGTTTGAAATTATTGTTAAAAAAAGTGTTAATAGATTGTAGATTTTTTTCAATGTCTTTTTAATTTAGAGTATTTTTTAAGTATTAAATGTAATATATATTCATTATATTCTTTATTCATATTATTCAACCCTTACAGAGTTTATTTTAAAAAATCGAGTTCTATATTGGTTTATTTCAAACCTGACATTCTGAGGTCCTACTGCATTCTGAGGTCCTTTTACCTGTACTAAAGGTCAAGGCATTTTGTCAAAAAATCATTAATTTTTCCAGCACAAAAAATGAAATAACTTTAGATCTAATTAACTTCTAAAGTTGAAATTTTTAGGTCTTTTTAAGCTCTATACCACTATATTAATCATATATAAATATATTGATAAAAAAAATCCTCTGGAATGGCTACCACAGTCTTTTTAACAAGTCGTTTTGAAAAAAATAAAAAGGTAATAACAATTGATTTTTGAACAAGCATACACAATGCATGGATTAATTTGTTATATATTTAGTTCTCCAAAAAAATATACCTGAATGTTATACTTCTTTCTTGCCATAACAACTTTAAATGTAAAGTACGTTAGCATAACAATGCTCAAGAAAAATGTTAAAACAACGTATCCATATTCACTTGGTAAAGTAACAGTGATACCGCCCATTATAATATTAACTTATTATCTTACACGCACTTCAATCTGCTGCACAGTTAATTGGTTGTAATAAACTCACTTGACGAAATTTATTGCACACTTGAGCTGAGTCACTGATATTGTAACCTTAAAAACCGGATTTAAACTTTTTAAATCAGGTTTAGAATTTTCGAAAAAACGCAGACCTAGAATGCTTTTGCGCAAACGCCTAAATGCATTTTTAAAATGGAAATATTTGTTTACCTTATTAGTGGAGGCCACTATGTACCATAGTGTGCACATACGTGTCACAAAGAAACTTTTTTTTGATATGAGATCCTTGTATGGAAAAATGACAGGTGTCGAATGTTTTGATAATGTCATTTTATTTTTACATAATTCTGCCTATAAGAATGTAACAATTCGAATGATTTATTTTTATTTTTGGCATTTAAAAACGTTTCTATACTGTGTTATTACTGTTTCACATATTAAAGATTATTAACAAATAGAAGACAAAGAATAAAAAAAAAGAAATTTTGTTTTTGACTTTACTAAATGCATTGTTTGCCAGGAGGATGATCGTAAAAAAGAAGTATTTCTGTTTGTTTGATTTAGATATTATTTCATATACCTATGTAAAAATATAAGTTTACATATTTTTACATCTCTTATCCTTTAAAAATACGATTTGGTGCATATTGGATATATTCTTTAAGTAGTTTTTAAAAGTGTCTCCTTCCAATTACTAAATTTATTTTCAGATTGTAAAAACCAGTTTGCGTGACGCTTTGGAAAAACTAACGATATGTTTAAGGAAAAGGTACTCCTATCATGAACCAGAGGCAATAAATTGCTACAAAAAGTTTAGAGAAATACCACGCGAGGAAATAGATGGTTTGCATATCTATCCAGGGCCGCCGAGACCCGTTACGCCGCCTGAGTAACCAACCCTGATTTGCACCCTTATTTATCAAAATTTCCCAGTATTATAAATGAAAGACTTTCTTTTTTTTAAATAGCATTATTTCCTTTTGGATATCTGCCACCCAGGACAAACTGTCTCTGTAGCCCCCTCACCCTCTCGGCAGCACTCTATCTCTCTCTCTCTCTCTCTCTCTCTCTCTCTCTATATATATATATATATATATATATATATATATATATATATATATATATATATATATATATATATATATATATATATATATATATATATATATATATATATATATATATACAGGGGCGGATCCAGCATTTTTTGGTGTTTGAGATAGCTAACTTCCAGACATGGAGGAAACTCCAAACATTTATATGTTTATACTTATATCAAATAAGGATGGTTTGCAAAAAATTGCAATGATTGGAGCCTGGGAACAAAAAAGCCCCAAAATTTGAGACGTACCTACCCCAAACGCGAGAGCAACAAGTTGATAAAATATTTTTTGTACTATTCTCAACAAGACTTACATTTATCCATAAATTTTAAATTCCATTGTAAAATATTTTAGCGCTCAAAAATTATGACCATATAAAAATTGTAACCCCCTCGAATTGAGGGGGATTCAAACTTTACATGGTCATAATTTTTGAACGCTGAAATATTTTACAATGAAATTTAAAATTTATGGATAAATGTAAGTCTTGTTGAGAATAGTACAAAAAAGTCAATAATAAGATTATCTTAAAATATTCTTTTAAATTAATTTTTGAAAGCAATTTATATTTTCTAGACGTGTTATGATATTAAATTTTGCTAAGTTTTTATACCAAATATGAGGTACAAGAAATGTAATTTTAAATTGTTCTTGCTTAGTTTTGCATAAAGATTCAATTAAGGTACCTGCTGAGCGCCAAGTATATTTAAAGTTAGGTTTTATTTTATAGTGATCATTTATTTTGGAAAAGAAATAGGAATTCGTTTTGCTTTATTTAAAGGATGGAATAATGAAAATTTTGTTTTTTAAGAATTAATAGAAGTTTTTGTTTGATCTTTACCATATTGAAATATTTTTTAATTCATCACTTATTTGAACGAATAGCCGAGGTATATATTTTCCTTCGATAAAAAATTTTTGATTCATTCAGAGATCATTCAAAGATATAAGGAAAAGATGAGGATCAAGAATAGACCCTTTGGACACTCCACAAGAAATTAAAAATGGGCTTGTTTGTTTATGGTTTTTACACCTGTTTGATATGTCTCTTATACCATACATCATAAGTTTTTTTACACATATATTGTGGTCCAATATATCACACGCCTTGGAGATGTCGATAAACACATCTCAAGTAAATTCTCCGTTTGAAAAGAATTAATATTTCATTAATTAAGTATATTACGTTGAAATATTTTTCTGAAATCCAAACTGCTTTGAATAAAATAAATTATTATCTTTAAAAAAAGTATGCGATTTATTAAAGTATATATAATAAAAAAGGTATATAACCTATTAAACATAATTTGTTCAAAAATCTTTTAAAGGTATTGATATTGGTCTTTAATTACCAATATAGGTTTTATCATATGATTTAAATATAGCCCAGCGGGTATTTGTTTTTAAAAGTTACGTTCCATATGTATTTAAATGCGGTAGTGGTGTAGTGGTAGAGCGCTCGCTTCATAAACGAGTGGTTCCGAGTTCGATCCCCACCACGTCCCTGGTAGTACCGCGCTCAACTCGTTTCTCCGCGCAGCGGCCTTGTTCGTCAAGGTTCGTGTTTCGGAGTTATAGAGTTGAGAGAGGGTTATAGGCACAAAATAAGTACCCTCCTCGTTTGTAGTGGCCTTCTCGGCCTTGAGGAAGTGAAGTGAAATAAAAAAAAAATTTTAAATGTCTTCTAAACATTCTTACGTAAAGAACGTTTAAAAGACGTTTATAAAACGTTTAAAAGACATTTAAAACAATTTGTTTTTAATGTCTTTTAAATGTCGGGCATTTGTTTTTAATTTTTAAAAACAAATGCCCGTAGGGAGGTTTAACTTTTGCTGCTATAAGTATTTCAGGAAAAGCACCATCTTTCAATGAACACTTACATATTAAAAAAAAAGGCAATTTTAACTCATTATAACAGTCAATTACGATGTTGCCATTTATGTCGTTTAGCATGATTTTATCAGCGTTTTATGTCCAAACAAGAGCTTTAGATGTTATCATTTTTTTGTTTTAGGTTCTTTTAATATTTAAAGAATTTTTTCTTTTTTATAAATAATTTTCAAAACCTTTTTACTATCCCTAATAACGAATCTAAAGATTACTATTGAGCGAAAGTGATCTAAAGTCTTTAGATCACTTTCGTTCATCGGCGTAAACATGAATTTAGTTAAAAATTTTAAAAAAGTGCCTTAACTCATATTGATCCTTGTTCTAATCGGTTCCGACGTATATTAACTATATACAGTTGTCAAAATACAATACTTCTATCAATGTTCATAAAAAATACTAGAATTTCGATCAAGAAAGAATTAAGAAAAATTGCCAATAAACGATCAGAACAGATCATATTTTTAAGCTATGATGCTCATTTTACCTAAACAACAAATTTATTTAAAATCTTATTCAAATTTGGTCAAGCGATTGTGGTTTTGAGAAGATTTTTTTTAAAAAAAAAAAATCTTTGGTCTGGGTTTTTTCGCTACAAAAATTTATACTTTATGATTTATAACACAAAAATTTATTATTTTTATTTTTTCTGTCTTTTAATAATTCACAGACCTGATCATTAAACAGAAATTTGTCTTAGTCAACAAAATATCATACAGACACTATAATATTTAAAAATTGCCTTAAATGTTAATTTGATAAGTGGTGAAATGAGTTTTTTTAAGCATGTCATTTGATGTTCGTTTATCACTTCTCATATTATTTATCTCGAAAAATAGTTATTATTATTTGGACCTTTTTTACTAACAAGCTAATTGCATTAGTTTTTAATTTTACTAAAATTTTAAACTAATTCAACCAGTGACGGATACAGGTGTGTGGGGGGGGGGGGGGCGGGATGGGGTATGCATTCCCCTCAGAATCTAAAAGTCATTGAATGCAACTGGTGGTGGGATTTCGTCACATGATAATTGAAAATTAATCACTATTTAATTGTTTTCACACTCAGAACAAAATCTTTTAGCAAAAAACAATTTTACCTCGTTTTGCATCAGTTTCCCTAACTTGTTAGAACTGAGGTCGACAGTCGTGGCCCTTGGCAAGATATTAAGAAGTCAGCTTGTTTTAATAAATTTTTAGGTATGTCAAAGCTGTCAATTGAGTACTTTATTTGGATATAAAATAAATTGATATTGGAAATTTGATTTTATTTTTAATTTCAAAGATTGATTTTGAATGTCTATAAATCCTTTCTTAGTCTTCCTTTTTATGTTTTTCTTTTCTTTGAAAAATGGTTGGATTACCCATAAATACAAAATATATTTAAAAAAGACAATAAACTATATTTAATTTGCATAAGTCTTTTAGTAAAGTAGAAAAAATACTCTAACTGCTTGGTACTAAATAAACCAACAGAGTGAAACTTTTAATGTTTCAGAGTATGTTGTTTTGGTTCTCAGTAATTTACAAAAATGAAAAAAGGAGATAGAATTTTGGAAAACAACTGTCTAACGTCATTTTATGGAAAAGTCATGTTTAATAACAAAAATCGCTTTTTCATCAATTATATCACAATAAAAAAATGAAAAAAGTGACTATTTGATTACTTTAAGATTTGTCATATATGAAAAATCACCTATATCTCAAACTATTATATACATTAGAGTATGGCAACCGGTGGAAACCGGTTGCCATGCTTTAATTTATAAAAATATATATAATTTTTTTTTTCATAAAAATATATATAATTTTTAAAAGTACTTTGATATTGCATTTGGTTTTACTTATTTGATATTTTTTCTACCAATAATTAATAGATTAGGATGATATTGCATTTTTATTTGTTTCAATATTTTTTCTTTCAATTATTAATAGATTACATACTGACAAAAACTTACAACAATATTTACATTTTTAAAAAATTATAATAATAAAAACAATCCAGAAAAAGCAAGTAACACTAACTTATATACTAATATAACACTAATTAATATATATATATATATATATATATATATATATATATATATATATATATATATATATATATATATTAATTTTATAAAAACACAAAGACAAGTGTATTATTTTAATTCTTAATTCTGCTAACAAAAAAAAATTATCTGTAAAAAAAATAAAAATTTAAAAAAAGTAAAAGCAAAGGAACTCATAAAGATATAACTACACAAAATATATTTAGCAACATTTATTTCTTATTTACAGCATTACAAATTTTCTTCGTTTTCAAATTCTTCTACTTTCCTTGCGTACGACCTTTCATTTTGACATATTTTGCAACATTCACAAGCTACCTTTCCATCCATAGATAACTAAGTAATAATAATAACTTTAAAACGAGTTCAAAAATAAAAAAAATAATTATTTCTCAAAATAACTTTTAAAATTTAACTTAAAAACTTGAGATTTTCTAAACATTTTTAAAATCAAATTTTATTATTATTAACTATATGATTTTAATAGATAATTATAACTACTATAGAGGTAGATATCATGATAAAACGATTTTAAAATTTTAAAAGATAATGGATATGTATATTATTTTTAAAAATTTCAATATCTTTTGTATTTTTAACAAAAAAATGATTAAACACGCTTGTTTATGCCTACCTTGTTTTTCAGTGATTTTACATAATCTCCATGCATGTTATTCCCACCAGCGACAATACAGTTAACGTAACTGACTGCAATACACACTAAAAGCAATACGAAGGTGACTTTAGTTTGCATGTTGAAATTCCTGAAGTTTTCTCAATTTGGAAAGCGTAAATTTTTTTAAAGATTTATATTGGTTTGTTAATGAACACTAATTACTGATGGCTCTGTTTGCAAAGTACACGTTAATTTTTAGAGTAGGATTTTAATTTTTTTGTTTATTTTATAACAGAGTTTTAACTTTCTATGTTTGCCTTATTAATTTGAACCGTTTTACTTTCTGTTTATTATTTTTTATACGGAATAAATATTCTAAATTAATACAAGGGTTTTTTTAAAGTTAGCGGCGTTTTTTTTTGTGTATTTTTTTGTTTTAATTTTCTTTTTAGTTGTTTTCTTAAGTTTTTAATTTGTTTACTTTTCTTGAACAGACTGAAAAAACTCTTTGTAAAAATAATTTCTTAAAAATAACAGATGATTTTTTTATTTTAAAGGTATTTTTTATAGCGATGTTTATCCATATTAAATATAAAAATACTTATAGTACATTTTAAGAATTTCTTTTCATGGTTTAGTTGGGGTAAACTGTCCCATTTTTTAATGAAAAAACACGTTTACTTCTATTTGGAAAAAGGTTTATGCTTCGTTTAATTTTTGAATTGCGAAAAACTATGCCTAACGGGCATTAATTTTTGAAGATACGTTTTTAACGTTTTTTAAACGTCTTTCAAACGTTCTAATTTTTAAAACATTTAAAAAACGTTTAAAAGACGTTTTGAACGCAACTTTTAAAAACAAAGGCCTGTTGAGTGCCTAGAATTAAAAAATATCATAAGAATTATTACCTTTGTAATAATCTTTATAATTGCAGTTTTAATAAATTAATATTAGAACTTGGCAACTATAAACGAACCAAGATGCTCATGGTGCACCATGTTTGACGCAGTCATTGCAAACTGTGTTTAGAATGTAAAAACCGTTTTCTGAAACAACAGTTACGGGATCACAAGAACTTGGTGGCTATAAACAGACTCCAGTACACCGTGAACAGCTGAACAACAAAGTTTAGTTGTGACAGCTGAACAATAAAGTTTAGAAGTAGATTGTACTAGCCAAATATTCATGTGCAAAAACCTTTTTGCAATGATCTATTACAAAAATATTTTTGACTCATCAATTTTAAAAAATGTTCTGTAATTAGCAAAAATAATGTGCCCTAGTTGTAGAAGTTAGCTAGTAGGATCTACTTTTAATTTACAAATTTCCTTCTATGTTTTTTGAAAAGCTTCATAACTTTATTCAAATATTAGTGTTCATTCATAAAGTCGGAGTCACTTTTTTTTAAAACAATTTAAAAAAAAAAAAGAAAGAAAATACGAACACTAAAAGTACAAAAAGAATAAATACAAAACTCAAATCGCGGCAATAGCGATTATCACTTGAATATCAGTAACTTTTTTTTAAATATATTTCGCTTTTCATATAAAAATAATTTAATAAAATTACCATGAAACTTTTACGTTACACAAAGAATATATATAACACAGACAGGGGCTCAAAGAAGATACGGATGACTGGTGTCACCACAATCATTTCATTGACCCCCTTTAAAATAACATTTATAGCCCACTTGACTTTAGTAAATTTAGAATAAATTATTTTTTCTGAAAAATTCTACGCTAAGAATAAAAACTTATATATGTATACATACTCATATATACATATACACCTAAACACACACACATATGCTAACATACTTACATATATTTCAGAAATTAAGGAGATGCAATTTCATTTTTCGTTTAAAAGAGAAAGAACCTTTCAAATTTATATTGTTATTTTTCAATTGATTCCATAATGACGGGCCTTGGCTTATAATTGAGAATTTTGACACTTGCATTTTTTTTTGCTCAAGTGATAGTTTTAGTTGTTTTATATTTATACATAAATATTAATATTTAAAGCGAATGAAGTTTTAATATATATTTAACACATTCATGTATCTCATTACAGGGGAAGGGTTTTCTAATCTCTTTAAATAGTTAACTACTTTATTTGCGTGATATTGTAGGCTCTGTAATCTTATTAATTTAGTTTTGTGCGTGCCAGCCCAATAATATTAGCGTAGGAAAGATGACTATGAACAACACTGAAGTAAAGCATTTTGCGTAATTTTTAATCAAGAAAGGCCCTACATTTATATGATACAGTTATAACAGAAGATATTTTTGCTTCAATGAGACTAATATGTTTTTTCCATGATGAATTCTCATATATTACAAATGATAACAAAGGTATGAGTGGATTATCAGGGATACGAAGGATGACAAAGGTATGAGTGTCAATGATGACAAGAATATAACTTTCAAGAAATAAGACTTTTTTGGACGAACCAGTAAATAAATTTTTTTTTTATCTTTTCTTTTAAAGGGTAAGTCTATCTAATAAAGAAAAAAAATGCTTGCAAGATTTTTATCAAGACTAATAATAGCACACAGTAGGGCATAGGCCTCTGCCCTACAGTGTATTACAGTGCACCACGCTTACCCCAGAGTTACCCCACACTTACCCCACAGTGCCCTACAGTGTACCACGCTTACCTCGAGGTAAGCTATTTAATTTTTAATTTTTAAATATTGGTCAAATTAAAAAATATATATAAAAAAGAAATATGAGACCAGAATGACAATTTTAGAACATTTAAATACTTTACCATTAGTTAAGACATCATTTATTGAAATATAAATTATATAAAATATTTTGATAAAGTTTTTTAATATTTCTGACCTATTTTTTAACACTTAACTTAACAAGCGCTTGGGCGCACATGTGATTAACTTTAAATAACACTCCCACATATATATAAAACTTTAAAACCAAACTTTCTGAACTCAATTAGGTCATTAGATGCTAAGCCAATAATTATATCCAATCATATATTTTGCTTTTAAAAAACTAAAAAACTCGCTCGAAGAATAGTTTTAGACTTATTGTACACCTAAATCCGTTAAAAGTACTTAAAATTTTAAATAGCATTTAGTAATTAACTGTATTTTTAATGTAAGTTGTCATAGTAACTTATCTAAAATCTTAAAAAATTGTATTTTAAATGAATAAAATTTATTTTGTTTATTTAAGTTACTAAAAAAAACTAGAAAAACAGCATATTTTATGTAGAAAATAACTAATGAATACCCTAATGAATACCCTAATGAATACCCTAATGAATACCCTAATGAATACCCTAATGAATACCCTAATGAATACCCTAATGAATACCCTAATGAATACCCTAATGAATACCCTAATGAAAACTTATTTTGTTTTACAAAAATCTGGGAAATTTGGTATAAAAATACGTTGATTTTAATGCATATTTTTAATTTTTTCTCCAGTGTCTTGTACCATAAAGAACATTATTATTACGAATTACATTTTCCAAGCTAACGACATGGAACAGATTGACCCACCTATAAACATGTATCAAATGCCTATATTCAATCTTTAAATATTTTTTCTACTTTCAGACAATTCTGGGCGCGGTAAAAATTCTAATTGCAGACATGGTAAACAAACTTCAGTTGTTATCGACCTTCTTAATTCGTTTGCAATAAATTAGAGCAGTATCCAATAGCTACTAATAGGTTACTAATAATAGCTATAATAAGGTTACTATTAGCTTATTAGATTTTTATGTGAAAGAAATTCTTTAATTTCTTTATATTTAAGCAAACAACAAATAACCATTCAACTCTGACATTTGAAAAACTTCAAATTAATAGATTTTTTTTTTATTGAATATTTTGCCGTTTAATATTACAATAACTAAATATACATTACAACTTTTACATTAGTTATAATTTTTTGGGCCTCAGTACATTAGTTATGTACTGAGACCCAAAAAATAGGATGCAAAAAAATTGAGCAATTCTGTTACATTTTTATATGTCAGACAGCGTTTGCTGCAATGAATGGAATATATATATATATATATATATATATATATATATATATATATATATATATATATATATATATATATATATATATATATATATATATATATATATATATATATATATATATATATATATATATATATATATATATATATAGGATTAATAAAAACAGACAGATGACAAGAGTCACCACAATCTTTTTGTAGAGCCCTCCTCTATGAGTTTTAACAAAGTAAAGTAAAATAAAATTAACCTCTATTCAAAAAAATAAACCTCTTATTGAAAATATACATTAAGCAAATAAAAATTAAATTATAATAGGCGAAATAAAATTGGAACAGTTCTTTTTCAATTATTATATATCGACATTATCTCTGTTATATAAGATAAAAGGAATAATTTCTTTTAAATATATGAAAAGTTTAGTTTAATAAATAGTGTTTTAAAGTTCAAAGGTTTTGTTTGGTTTCAAAATTTCTCTTTTTATTTGAAACTTAAACGAATTTCACGATATTGAAATACTTATTTTTAAAGCTTCTCCATGTGTTATGACCTTGATATGCTAATTACTATAATTTCTTTTTAACACCCGGTAATAAATTACAGGTAAAATATTATAAATAACATTTTACCTGTAATAAATAGTCACCAATCAAATTAAGATCAGCTAAAACGACACGGCTCTTGCAGTTGTTAGCATTAAATGCTATTAACCAGCAGGTATGTTTTTCACAAACTATGGAATCAGACTTCTCGGAACATTCTCCTATTGCAAAATTTTATTTAATTCTCTCTTTTTTTCAAATTCCAAAACTGGAACGTTTCTTTCAAATATTGAAACAATCAGCCAGCAGGTCTTCGATATCAGCCAGCAGGTCTTCGATACCAGCCAGCAGGTCTTCGAATATCAGCCAGCAGGTCTTCGATAAGTGGTGTGAATTTTTTTTTTTTTATCATTTATCATGCACTGGACGATGTTTAAACCAAGTGTGTTGCAGGCTTCAAACAGTTCGTTTGAAAAGAATTTATATTCTGTATTGCTTTAAATTGATTAGTTAACTGTGAATAGCAAGTTTAAACTATCAGTGAATTATCAGAAATTCTGATAATTCTGATAATTCTGATTCAGAATTATCAATCGTTGATTATCAATAAAAAGCAAGTTAAGCTGAATTCCTTTTATTCAGTTAGTTTAATAGAGCATGTTAGAATTAATAGGCGAGCCTCTTGTTAAGATTGATAGGCGAGTCTTTTGTTAGAATTAATAGGCAAGCCTCTTAGAAAGCCTCTTAG